AGGGAAAAAGATTGGACTGGTTGAAGCTGGTGTTAAGGGGAGATGGCAGTGGTTGACTGCCGGTAATGAGAGTCCTTCTACGCCGACGTCCGTTGCGGTTGTTCTCCTTTTCGGCAGATTCAGGTTTGACGACGCGCTTAACGATCTGTTCAACATCCCCAATCTCGATAAGGACGTTTTCTGGTTTGAGGTCGGTGTGGATGATACCGCATTCGCGATGGAGGTAGTCGAGGCCGAGTAGAACCTGCTTTGTAATTTGTTTGACGAGAGGCATGGGAATGCCACGGTGATTCCAGCGCTTGATGAGCCCAAGCAAATTCTCTCCCAGCACCTCGAAAACCATACAGACATGAGTGCCGTGAGGTCCCTTGTGCTCGAACGAGTCTAAAAGGCTCACAACGTGCTTGCGACCCGGGTGATCGGGCTTAGCTTGGACAATCTTGTTGAGAAGCTTGATCTCATCGATGGCGGTCTCGGTGTAGTGAGCAGCGGAACGGACGACCTTGAGGGCGACATGCTTGCCGTTGGTATTGTCGCGGGACAGCCAGACGGTTGAGAAATGACCCCATCCTAGCTTGCGAACAACGGTGTATTTTCCATCCTTGAACTTCTCTCCGACTTGCACTGGGTGGTAGCCACCTTTGCAGTAATCTTCAGAATCCTCCTCATCTGCAGTATTTTCGGCGGCATCGTCGACGGACGAGGAAGAGGGGGAGTGGGCCATGGCGGAAAGCTGGTGGGATCTATGAGGGGGGAAAGGAGGTCAGCGGTGGCTTAAAATATATGTAGAGATGCGGCAAAAATCAGCGCAACAAGGCGACGTGTAGATGATGAACGAGAATTGAGGCGGAGCCAATGCAATCAGATCAAACAACCACGGTCGCAAGATTTGGTGGGCGAGCGACGGCGGCGAAAGAGCTGAGGCCTTGCGCGTGGTGGGGGACCTTTGCCGGATTGGGTTTGGGTATAGTGAAATGGCGGGGAAGCATCAAAACATCATCCAGACGATAACGTAGCAACGAGTCAAGTCTTTCACTGGCGCTTCCAGTTGAAGATTTCGGTACCAAAAAGACTCGGGCACTGAATTGACCGACAGCGGTGAAACACACGCCTAAGCTTGGGCGCCAAACCGCTGCCGACAAAGCATAAAACGGGACGGGGAAGTGCAACCTTGATTTGAGAAAGCTGGTCATGGTGCCTTCACATGACGCAGCTTGCGCTGGTAATAAGTCGGGCGTCGAGTCTGCTTCTTCGTCCTTCTCTGCTCCGTAACTTCGGGAGCACCAGCTCAAGTCAAATCACGTAGTGAAATATAGTGACAATCGTGGGAGCAGCGCGACAGATAAGCCGGTGAGCGGCGTGGCGGTTTATGAGCGGGGGATAAGGAAAGGTAATGGAGAGAACAAGGATCTGGCGAAAATGACGAAGATGACAAAGACTTCTGGTGCACGATGGTAACGGTTGAGGTTGACTGCAAGCTGGGGCGCATAAAGGCCCGAGTGAAAGCCAAAAACAGGAGAAAGGAGAAAATAATATATAAACAGGCGAGGCCAAGTCGAGGGAGAGATTGATGGAGATTAGAGGTCGACTGGGCTCGGGGGCGTGCTCCTTGTCTTTGGTTTTGATTTGCTTCGCTTTCCTTGACTCTGGGCTCAGCGTTCTTTGCGGATCTGCAGTCGCTTGGCTTTCTGTTTCTAGGGCCCGGCTAGAGACCATGGGATGGCTGGCACGCGGCGCAAGACGGAGCGTCCCGCCCGGCGAATAAAGGGTCTCTGAGAGCTCAAGGCTCGAATATCCAGCTCGCCAAGCGAGTTCCAGAGAGAAGGAGCGGCAATAGAGAGTGCAAAGCGATGGCAAAGGGCGGACAACGCAGTCAGGTGGTATCGCATCAGACAGCATGAGCACAACCATCACCATCACATTCTCATCCTCCTCCACATGCATCAGCCAACAGAAGCTTCAGGCACAATCAGAGGTGCCACGGGCAAGTGACTGACTGCACCACCTCCAGGGCAGACCAAAATCAGGTACAGAGGACCCAGTGATCGATCGAGTGATCCAAGGTTGGTGAATGCCCAAGGCTTATGGGGTCGTATCCTCCTATCAAGGCCCAAGCACACGGGCCCCAAAGCTCCAGAACAGCCACTGTGAGCAGTGTCCACACTTGTTTCAATCTGCCCTCGCTACTTCTGTAGGATGATGCAATGCCGCGCCATATTTGTTGAGTGTCCATTTTGGCGATATGAATGGAATGATGGTTGATCTTCCTTAATAAACCAGCATCTGTTTCCTTCATAAACAGTCACATGGAAGTTGTGGATCCGGCCTCATAACCGCAGCAACAGCTGATCTGAGCGGTAGCTAGAGCAGTTGGTTGTATCAGGGTCGTTGACAACATCGGACCAGCGGCGCCTTGGGGATTTTGGGATGGTGCCATGCGATCCGTAAAACCAGCGGTCTCGAGGTGAATGCCAAAGCAATGTGCGACCAAGAAATTTCCCCAAAATCAAGGTTGTGTAGTGTGATGCGGTTGCAACAAAACAAAACAAAACAAAACATGGAGAAAGAATGCGAACAATATGTGTGTATAGATAACCAAAACAAAATGCTACCAGAGCTCAAAGACCAACAAGGAAACGATTTTATACATACCCAGCTGGTTGGTTTGTACCCTCCATAGTAATTATTGGCTTCAAGTCCTTCTTGCGCTTCTTAGCCGCAAGACTGCTATTGTTGCTGTTGCTCCCGTTGGTGTTGGCATTTGATGCCTTTTGGGCGTCGGGGGATTGTGTGCTGTTCATTGTAGTGTATTCGTCAAATCTGCCTGTGCGCGACAGTGCAGGATCTGTATTCTAGGGACAAGTCGAGATGGATCTGGCGTCTATGTCGCCAGGTTGTCAATGAACAGAGTCGTGAAATCGTCAACGGGTTTATCGTAATGTCGGATGCGACAGCTTCTGGGTTCTTTTGGGCGTCGGTAAGAAATGATGTCGAGATGAAGTGGGGGAAGAGGGGCGCTTGTAAGTGCTTGCTCGACGGACGTGGGGTTATTTTCTGTTCGTTTTCTTTCGTAGAGATGCTTTCTCAAGAATTGTCAAAATCGCTCGGGTAGATAAATTTGAGGGTGTCGGGCAGAGTCAGGAGAAGAATAGATCGGGGAGACGAGCACGGTAGGATAATTGCGGTCGTGGTGCGGCAGTGGCGCCAAGGTAGATCTGTTGCAAGTCGAACCAAAAGATGTTGCGCAGTAATTACCCAGTGGCGGCGCAATCTGAGGTGACCGGGATCAATCAAGCACAGTGAGTGATTGTGCTTGGTGTATTGGTCCCAGTGTAAGCTAAAGCTAATACGCTGTAATATGGATACTTGAATGTAATCTGGTTGTCCGAGTAATGACTTTTGCGACGGATTGTCTAGATGTTTTGATGGATACAAACTTGCTTGGAGAAGAAACGGAGGAGAAGGAAGAAGAAGAAGATTATCAGTCGGAGACGAGGAGGGGCAGGTAGAAGAAGCCAGCCAGCCCAGGGTCCGGGTTGGTGAGGAAGATTGGTGAGGTTCTTGCAGCCAACAGATTCCGCAATTATTTATTTGTAAGGCAAGGCCAGGTCAGGTCAGGTATCTACAAGTGCAAGTGCAGGCTACCGATCTTAGCATCCTCAAATTTTGCGATCTAATCTTTAGCGTAACGAAAATACACCGAAAGCGCATACTTTTGCATCGACAAAAGCAGATAGAGATATGTTTTAGAGTTAATCCGGGCTGGAGATTCATCCGAAAACACCAGATTCAGATGAAGAAAAGCCAAGTCATGACTGAGACCTCAACTAAGACGACGATGCTCAAAAGCAGGCACTCTACGAGATGCATCCATATGTGGATATCGTTCACCACAACCCTGAAGCAGCCTAACGACTCGTCTCACTGACAGGATTATGACGACGCACGAGAGGAAGCTTCTGATTAGCATTGGATCCCACAAGAGAAACTTGATCTCTAGTCTTGTAACCCCTGTGCCTGAAATCGAAAGCTTTGGTTGAGGCACACAGCTAGTGGCATTTGGAGAAGGTAAGGTATCGGTTATCAAAAAGATACGCGCTAAATCGACACACTCACTCGCAGATTTTCCAGAGTCTGACGCCATTCCTCCAATGGACCCCACGTCCGTGAGGCACTTGAACAACATGAGCAGGGCTCTCCAGGTTGTTCTTCTGCAAGGATGCGGCGAGTCAACTGGTACTAATTAATTAAGAAGATGCCAATACTCAGTTCAACTTCATGTTAATTCTACTCTATTACCACTACAATGTCCCTTGTGTTACGGACTTCTTCGCTACTATACCTACCCCAAATCGTATTCGCATTCATAAGGCATTGAATTTCAGCTCCAGCCACCAATTGCCAAACTCTTTGGGCTTCAATGCCCGAACCTGACGTCACCGCTCCAGGGACTTACCAAGGAAGACTTCCCGAAAACCCAGTCGTGAAACCCCATATTTCAAGAACGCCCAGTAAGTCAATAGACTTGTTCAACTTGAGCGCTTTGGGGTCATGGTCCGTTACACAAGGACCTGGGTCTCTTTGTGTTAATGTACAGATAAGTTGATAAAGTCTAATTGAAGCCATATCAGGCGATGCTTCTGTAAGTCAGCAGAGACGCACTTAAAAGCATAAACCGAGGTTACCATGAATCCTAGGGCTGAGCCAATCATCATTTTTATCCTTTAGAAGAAACGAACAAGTCACCAAACAATCAACCTACCTATAGTTGGTAGAGCCATTTCTGCATCCAAAGTGCACAATAAGCTCATTGTCGATGGTAGAAAAGCCCACTTATACTGGCCAATACGATTGACGGCTTCTAGTGGCCTGAGGTCAGGACCGTATCGACCATGAGACAGTGATAGGTAATACACCAACGGGCCAGACTTTTGATCAGATATCCGAGGTTGTAGATCACTCAAATCGCTTAATAGACATCTACTTCAATGGCACTCACCATGTGTAAACCGATCTTGTTAGTTTCTGCCTCAAACCAATATGAAGCCTGGGCCAACGGCTACAACGATAATCCCTTCAACCGCTGGAAAACCATTTTTCAAATTGCTGTTTCTAGACAGATGCCTTCCCGGCGACACTCAAACTCCTCAATCTTATATCTTTCTTCAACCAAACTTGTCAAATATGGCCGCACAGTCCACCTCTCTGAAGCCTCAGCTCTACTCTTTTTAGCTTCCTTTGCGCCTGACGTTCCTATTCCGAAATTGCATTGCGCGTTTCGAGATGATAAAAAAGGGGTGACTTATATTGTAATGGAAAGGATTGACGGGCAACCTTTGAGTGATAGCTGGCATGAGGCGTCAAGAGACGAGAAGGATAGATTATTGACACAGCTAAGAAACATTCTTGAGGAGCTGCGTACACTCATGAAGCCCGCTGGAAAGGGGATCCCAGATGGTGCTGTATGTGCCGCTGATGGAGGCAAGTTGCATGACCATCGGATATGGAATGCTGCTGGGGAGAAAGGGTTGGGCCCCTTCCAGAACGAGGCAGCATTCAACCTTTTCCTTCGGAACGGAGTCTCGAATACAGACTTCATCACAGACCAAGGCAGTCAAACAGAGATCCAAAGATTGATCGAGATGCATACAGCTTCAGAGCAAAGGAATATGGGCACCGTATTTACGCATGGAGATGTTAGCCTGAGTAACATTTTGGTCAAGGAGAGAAAAGTAGTAGGAATTGTGGATTGGGATATGTCTGGCTGGTATCCACGGTATTGGGAGTACAGAACAGCGATTAATACCCATTACATCAAAGGGTGGAGGGAGGAGATTGGGAAGTTTCTGGATGAGTGGCCACAAGAAAAAGAGATGGATGATTTATGGAGAAAGCATTATTGTGATGGGTCTTGAGGGTGTATGTCAGCCAACCTATTCGCCTGGAGAACTAACAGACATTCAAGATGGCCGGGAGATGCTGGATTCGACCTCACCTCAGCAGAGCATCTACGACGAAGCCCAAGGCAACGCTGCCGAGTAACTTGTACAAAAGCACCGCGGACTCCTTTTGCTCTGTTGACTGCTGATGCTACTCAATGAGGTTTTCAGAACCGGCAAGGAGTGTCTCCTGAGCTACAGGGGGATAATCTGTAACCGATTACCATGGGACAATGCACTCCGTCTGGAACATCTCATATTCGCACATCGAAAGCGAGGATGGAGACGCGCCTAGGCTGCTTAAGCTAGGGGCCTATTTTGATAACAAAGGTATCTGGTATGAATTTCTGCGTCCTGGTTGGGACGGCTAGTTACATGAGCTGATCAGCTGTCTTTGAACAAAACTAGGAATGGGAGAGTGCGTGTTGGGTGAACAACACAACGTATTGGTAGCTGCTATGGCTGATGTCGAATCTGCATGCAGAACCCGTAATCCATGAACATGGCTATAGCGCACCTAGCCAGATTCGCTCTCGCCCTTTGCTTTGCATCCTTAACTATCTAATATGCAAGCGTTGGCGAGACGTTCTCTGGGGTCATTTGTTCGAGGTAAGCTGGATCTTCTGCCTCCTCCTCCTTACCCCTTACACAGAGAGTGTCATAGATTTCCCCAGGCAATGCCATTCCTTCGACCGCATCACTGCTCTTGAGAGCTACTTCCAGGTAGGTATGAGATCCTACATAGGTTTGGAGCCGATCGTTGCTGTATCAAACAAGTCCATAGACTTCTTGTGCCGTGTTGATTTATGACACGACCCGCACTTCAAGAAAGTCAGGACCTGCATTTGAGTGGTACAATGTTGCCTGGGTTGACGCGTGTTTATTTGACCGCATGCATCTAAGGCGTTGTGATAAACTGTTCATCTACTTCAGGAACGACATCCAAGATGCCTGTCTGCACCGCCATTAGGCTCCAGGTCTGGAGGCATGTTTGTGCTGTTGATGGCAGATGAGGACTGGCATGGCTCCCTATGGGTAGAAAGAGGTCATGGGAAATGTATGAGGAGCAGAAGATAGCGATTTAAAGCAGGCTAGAAGCACCTTCTAACAAGGAAGTGCATAAGATTGACATACTGGATAGAAAAAGGACCAAGAGTAGCCGCACAGGAAGTGGCCAGCGTGTGACTGAAGGGTGCCCTAAACAACTCATGCCTCGTATATATATATGAGCTAAACTCTGAGGTTGAAGTTATTTTGGGGAACGCTTCTCCAAATGATGACAGAGTCACAGAGGAGGTCCTCCCACAAGCATGAACTGAGGGTGCCATGAAGATCGAAGGATTCCAATGTCGGGTCAATGAACACACCACCTCGACGACATTCATCTTTGTAGCATGTGTTCAGCGACTTAACACCCCCAAAACCACGTGGGAGTCAACCGTCTATCCATGGATGTCATCTGATGTCTCATGGGCACGGGACGACCACGTTTCACATCACAAGTAACAGAGTCACAATCATAAAGGATATGGGAAAAAACAGTTCGCCTTAGCCCGTCATGAGGGCTCCAGTTTTGATTTGTTTAATAGCCTATTATGTGAACGCCGAGAACGCCAAACCCAGAACCCGCGTGCGTCGACTCTTCTGCCTCAACTAATAGCTTACAACCGTAATGCTCCGCTTGAATATGGTACGCTCCAAGAAGCTCCAAAGAAAATCCAACCGTGAATTTTGGCCTTAGTTGGCCCGCTTCTTGCTCTTCTGAGCCATCTTGCGGAAAGCTTCCATACCACCTGCACCAAGGGGACGATGGCTGGAGTTTTGCGAGCCCATGAAGGTGCTCTGGGGAGCAACAGTGTAGCTCGAAGGCAAGTTGACCATACGCGCCGAGTTGTTACCTCGTGATGGGGCCAGTAGACGTTCGCGCTCAGCATCTTTGGCGTTGACGGCAGGACGCTGGGAAAGACTGAATTGAGAGCTGGTCTTCTGGCGTTGTGCCATCTTGGCAGATCTAGCATCAAGTCAGCACATATAAGAGACAAGCCGCAAGAGAGTACATACTCATAATCGTAGTCACGGGTCTCGATCTGGCGCTTCTTGTAATCGTCGGTTCGTTTCAGGATAGGTCGGCTCCATTCTCCCAGGAGTCGTGTAGCAATTCTCTTGATACTGGGTTCGGGCTTCTTGCTACGAGTATAGAACACCACCACTCTTCCGATACCGCTGCTGAGGAGTGCCTCTTTCTCGATGTTCATCTTGGCGAGAGCGTTGAAGATGTCGCGTTGAATGTTGTACGCTGGAAGAGAGCCATCATTCAGAGGCTCCAAGAAGAACTTGACGTGCTGCAAAAAGTTCGTATCGGGGTCCAGAACGGCATGTTGGACGTTGTTTCGATTCAAGATAGCGGTGACCTCGGGGAGAAGCTTCAGCTTGTGCAGAGCTGGTTGGCCGGCCTCGCGAGCCTGGTTATCAGCCTGACAAGCCTGTTCCATCTGTACCTTGAGATCCGCTAGAAGGTCATCAATCTCGTCCTCAAGATCCTGGGTAAAAAGAAATTAGTGAAAGAACTTGAGCATGTGCACTTTGAAACCTACAATCTCATCCTTCTTCCTGCGCTTGAGACCGCTTGGCTTCTTGATTGCCGCATCTATCATTCGGTCGAGTTCTCGCTGCTTTCGCTCCGCCGGCGTCAAGTTCTCCTCCTTCTCTGGCTCTGGACTAGCAGGCTTAGAATGTTGACGTCGCTCTCCATCACCAGCAGCGCGTCTTGAACGTCGTGACTTTTTGCCCCCATCCTCTGCATCATCCATATCAACATCTTCATCTCGGTCTCGGCGCTTCTTATCTCGGCGGCCTTCACGTGGTTTCTTTGGGGCCTCTCCGTCTGCGCGCTTTCGCTTTGTAGCCTTCAATGTGCGAGCAACATCTTCGTCAATATCGACAGGACGGTCCTCAATATTGGCCGTTTCTGGGTCGTAATCCTCGAACTGATCCTCGTCTACCTCGGACAGCGCATCGGAGTCGCGATCGGAATCAGCGGCGGCGACGGCATCTTCGTATTCTTGCTCTTGGCCGTCATTGACAGGCTCATTGGCATGCTCGCCAATTGGGGAATCCCTTTCCGACATAGCGTCGCGTCCTCGATCGTGCGAGATCGTGCGAGATCGCTCTGGGAGTTCTTTATCGCTTGTTGAAATTTGGTTATCACAGCGCTTGAGAGACTTCGAGAGGTTCGCGCTAGAAATTTGTTGGTGAAGAATCGTCGAAAGCTGCGAATATGGAAAGATTGACAATTCGCAAACCTTCAACTTTCTTTGTATGGCTAGAGCCGCCACAGGTGCGAGGCGCGACCCTTGTTGGCTGACATAATCGTGAAGCTCCACCTAGAAACCTCAGGCAGGTGGCCCGCACCCTTTGTTTACTTTGGCCTTTTTGGTTGCCACGGATGAATTGAAGAATACTCGATGGATTGAATTTGGCAGCTACTCCCAGTCACTACAGCTGCCCCGACATCAACCCCAGCCTCTGTCCACCTGGCCAACCTTACATCGTAATTATTCGAGCTATTCAGTAGCTATCATCGATTATGGATCGTCGAACTTACGAAGGTCCTATGGACTGGGAGTACCAGAACAGCGGCCCTTTTGATCCCACAAGTCCTTTTACACATGCAGCAAAAAGTAACTCTCAGAATGGCAAGTTTACCTTCACCGGCGTCACAGTTGCAGCTGTAGCTTCTACAATCCGCGATGTCTGGCAGCTCTTTGCTAACAGTTTGTAGTCTTTGGGTCCCCTTCGAAATCGAGCTTAAGACCAAATCCTTTCGCAAATCTAGGGACACCCTCAAAAACGAAACCGCCGCAGTCCTCCTTTACTCCTCAATTGTCTTCGAGAACTACCGCGCCAGCATTCCGCAACCCTGCATTTACAACACCCCGGCGACCTTTTGATGACGTTGCGCTGTCTGAAGCCTCAGGCGCAGAAGACAGCCCTGCCTTGACAGAAGTTTCTGACTTCCCGAATGACACTCCTGAAGCGGACCGTATGAGCGATATCAACATGAGTGGCATGACGAGTCCCTCTAAGATCGACAAGTCCTTTCGTTACAGCAAGACTCCTTTCTCAAGCAAAAAGCATACACCAGGTCGAGGCGAAATACGAGCGACTCGAGACCTCTCCGTATCAGAATTTATTCGCAAGCGAAAGAGACATAATCTTGATAGAGATGTCAGCAGCATAACTCGACAACGATGGACAGAGTCAGATTCCGATTCGGAAGATAGCATTGCACCGAGACGAACTCGTGGCAAGAAGAAGACAACAAAGGAAGCCCCGAGGGGTTTCTTGGGATCTCTGTTGCATATGCTGGACGAACACCCTAACGCCCCTGACAATCTTTACAGATGGGTCAAGTTGATAGTGAACTTCTTTCTGGTATCAGTCTTCGTCTACATTGGCTGGTCCATTGTAACCACCGTGAAAACGGACATCGAAAATGCAAACGAGATGGCACGAATCGAGATCATGGGGAAAATTACGGAATGCCAAACTCAGTACAGTATCAACGGATGTGCTAAGAACGACCGTCCGGCGCTCAGAGTGGCATGCGAGGAGTGGTCTGAATGTATGACACAGAACCCTGAGGCTATCATGAGGGTCAAGGTGACTGCCAAGCAAATCGCAGAGATCATCAACGAGTTTTCTGAAGCAATGAACCTCAAAGCTTGGGTGGGTACCTCATGCCGCATAATACTAATCGCTAAGCTAACCACTTCACAGGGATTTTTCTTCGCTGTTCTCATCTTTTGCGCCTTCGCCAACAACTTTTTCTTGGGTGGATATGTCAGCAAGCCAGCACCTCCCGTTCAGTCACAACCCGCAGCTCCACCTCACGATCCATCCATGGCCCCTGAGAACGGTCCAGGATTCATGTGGGTTCCTGTACAAACACCAAGGATGCAGCGTCACATGTTGCTCGACGATGGTACCGATACGGACAGTACACCGCCGCCAAAAATGAAGACGATTCTTGCGCCTCCATACACTCCTTCACTGCGTCGGAGTCCAAGCAAGACGGATCGGGGCCGTAGCCCTGTTAAAAACCGAAGTCCTAGTAAAGGGCGTCGCGAACCGTTTGCGTAGGCTCTGACGGAGAGTTAGGCATATATTATTTTCCTTTGTCATTGAATAACCTGGCTGTATAATAGTGGTGCATTGGAACTGGGCGCATGTATACGGGGCGCGGTTCGCTGGTGTTTGGAAAATCAGGTCATAGCATGGACGGTGGTATCACGGACGTATGGATCAATGGGATACTGGAGTATGTAGCATTCTCAATCACTATATACGGCAGTGAACTCTGCATCTTTTGTTATTGAAGAGTTCTCTCAGCCCCTCTTATCGCTGTTGGAAGGGCATTATCAACCACAGAGGCCGCAATTATAGGCCATGTTACAGTGCAGCTCAGCTCAAGACCATGATCCAAGCTGAATTGATTGAACGTTGAGGCTGTCGGAGGTTGATGACGTACTGTGGGGTAAGGTTGAGAGGGGCACTTCGACGGATGGTCCTGGCATGAAAGTTAATTCTCAGGTGAAGATGGAAGACAACTGGAATGAATACCCAATATTCTGCTAAATCGCTCCTTTTTTCCACCTGGACCACGATTTATCAGGATCACCCAGTATCGTGTGCCGTCTTTCTTGGCATTTGCTCCAGTACCATCAGCAGTACTTCGATGCAGCAATGTCAATCATGCCAAAATATAAATTATCCCAGGCTAGGTACTCCGTACGATCATCCTTGATGTTCTGATCGCCGCAAGCCTACCATATCTCTGACATCATATCTACAAGGACTCTGGACCTTTGCTCTCCTCGAGAGATCCCATTGAACGAAACATAGGGCTTGGTAATGGCCATCCGTTTTATATCCGTTTGGCTTTTTCCGATGCAAAGTTACGGTGATGAGATGGAGGGCCAAAGGATGCGCCAAATGCAAGGAAGCATGCACAATCTGGCAGACTCCGCAACATTCCAATTGGACGATGGACGTGCTTGTGGTGGATGTGACCTTGGATCAGGCTTGGAGATAGGTTTGATGGCGTACAACTTTGCAGTATTCCTTGCCCAGAAGCTGAGGAGAAGTGCGGTTCGAACAAAAGCAGCTTTATCTGAGACATCTCAAGGTTCAAAAAAGACATGATTTGCAGCTGGAAGATGGCGCTGAGAGGGCGAGCAATAAGAAAGGCTCATCGGCAGTCTATAACTGCAGAATGACGAGTTGCTGAACACATTGTCCACTCAGACCACGGCCCTAACTAAATTTCAAGCTTCCAGTGGTATGGCCTGGTCGATCTGGCCATGGCACTCATTCTCATGGTTATCAGAGACCTTTTGACAGAAGAATCCTAGCTTAGGCGGTCGACAATCTTGGACTGGATTACAAAGACAAGAACATTTGAGCCGGTTCAAAAATAGAGTTCCTTCCTTTCTTCAGCAGTAAAAAGCGGAACAACCCTCTCCAGATAACATTGGTAACCTGAAGAGGTTGAGCGTACCTTCCAAGTTCTACCTCAGGCAGAACCAGAAAAAGCTCTTTCATTCGGCCACCTAATCATTTTCTCAACTTTGATCTCCATACCTCATCAACGCTCTTTGTATTTTCCTATAGAGCTTCCATATGCGCGGTTCGAACATCGTCTGTTTCACGACACGAAGCGTGAGACAGAGCCAGGACCCCAGCTACTGTAATCGACTACATACGGAGTAGCTGCAAGACATACAATCTGCAACAAAGTTCGCCGAGGAAACGCAGGATTCATTCAGCACGGTAACAGGTAACAGGGCATCAAACAAATTAAAGCTACAGCCGAGAAACTTCGCCGTGGTTCTAGGCCTCTATTTGAACCGGCCCGAACCTGGTAATCGAGCGCGACGATAATCGTGAGCGCAATCGCAAGAGATTCCCATACTAGACATAGCCAATCTTCATCATCCCATTTCCCACACATCCCTACAATCAATCAGTTCTCATTCTATTCCCAGTCTGTCCAGCTTCCGTTGTATGCGCAAACTTCCGCTTTCGGTCTCGATTTGACTTCAATATCTTCAATTGTTCAACTCAAATCGTTGCCAATCCGTGTTGTGCATGGACCACAGCGCCCAACTTTTGGTCTCTATCGCCGGCGCAATCGACGATCGAGTGGACACCAAGTATACCAGTACTTCTTAGCAACCTCTTTAATCCCTCCTGAGAACGCAAATTGCGACAGGAAAAGAGAAACAGCATTGCAAGCTTCAAAGCGCCACTGATCTGCGACTTCTGCAGCCCTTCATTTTCTCTCCCTTGACTCGCGGAGTCGGCCTCGAGCTCCTTGAAACCCCCCGGTCACGTATCCTCGAGTTCGTGAGCTTTCAAAGCTTACCTCTAGTTCGGTTACGTCGTGCTAGAGCCTAGCACTCTACTAGCTAGTCGATGAATGCGCATTGCCCGGGCTTTTTACCCAAATTCGACCTACGACTCGCTGTGACTGGTCTTGATGCAATTGTGAGAGCTTAGGTGGGCCATCTTCAACCGTCTTGTCTCCGCATCGCATTCTCCCCGCTACAAAGCCACCGTGACGCGACTGAGAAAGCAGAAGTCATTCAGGTACCAACAGCCCAAAGTCATCTTCGCTTCTGGCGCCAAAAACCAGCCCTACAATTTTTTATTTTTTTTGCTGTGGCCAGAGGAGAACAAGGTGAGAGTTCAAGCTTCAGGACTCAGGTTGTAACTTTGACGACAAAATCGCCAATCCCCTCGCAGCATGTCAGACTGCGCCGTGCCCTCCACCGTCCCCCCTCCAAGACCTCATCCCACCCAAAGCTCTTCGAGCTGAAGGTTGGAGCTCACAAAGCTTCACGACGGACGCCTAGTTCCATACGCACGACAACAGCGAAACGACGAACCTTTCCTCTGTCTCCACAAACTTTTGTACTTTGCGATAGCCTGCGGTCAGGCTCGTTTTTCGAGTGATGGATGTCGACAACGAACATTCAGACGCTGGTAGTCAACGACAACCCAGTGCTGAACACACGCCGCAAGGAGCTACTGCGCAGGTTGGGGGAGGTTCCTCACAAGGGAATCCTACCCCCACCTCAGTTCAGTCCTCCAATACGCCCTCGACTGCATCAGGTCCTGCAACAGCTAACGTCACCCATTCACAAAACTCGAAACGCCGCCGAGGGCTGGGTGTTGTGACGCCCAATGCCTGCACAGAATGCCGCAAGAAGCGCGCAAAGGTATGTAGCAGATCAGCTTACTTTCCCGAAATCCCTGGTTGCGTAGTCGGCTCTTGTTCTTCACTTTCCTTGTACGTCATAGCAAGTCCCACCACAACATTTTATTTAGCTTGGGATAGACTTCCGCAATTGGGTGCAGTGCTCGCTTTGTTCCCGTAATGATTATACTGTAAACCCATCCTTGCTAACAATTGATGTTATAGTGCGATGGCAAAAAGCCGTGCGGACGATGTAGAGCACAGAAAGATGCCGAATGTGTATACGAGATTCCCGTGCGCCAGTCGAAGGAGAACCTCCGAACCGAAATCGAAATTCTGCGACAAAAGCAGCGTTCCAGTGACCAAGTCTTCGCTGCTCTTGTCCGACCAGAACTATGGGAAGAGGTTCTAACCCGTCTTCGGGGCGGCCAACCCGTCGAAACCATTTCAGAATGGCTCGCAAGCGCACCACGCCCTGGGGAGCGTTCTATATCCTCGTTTCCTCCCCGTTCCGAGGCGCCTACCATGGGTCCTAACCCGGGGTTCCCAGGAGGTGGACTGGGTACATTGGCAGCCATGAGCCTTGGTGCGAGCCATCAACAGTCGCAGCAGTCTTCCATGCGGCCCGAGATGGGTCAGCACAGTCCCTGGCAATCTACCTTCAGCCAAACCGAGTCAACAAGGAGCGACTCATATCCCGACGTCATGAACTGGCAGACAGATATGCGAGGGCCGCCACAAAATCGAGATGGGTCATGGGCCGAAGGGATGAATCCTGACCAAATCTCGGACGGTCTTCCACGATATCGAGGAGTTGAACAGATCCTCTCACCATTGAATGAACCGGGGCTCCGAACACCGGCTTCAACTTGGACCGTAATTACCGGCGACAACGTTCTTGTTCAACACCTTCTGGCGCTGTATTTCTGTTGGGAGTATCCAACATTTGCGTCCCTGAGCAAAGAACACTTTCTTCAGGATTTCCAAAAGGGACGGAATCGATACTGTTCACCGATACTGGTGAATGCCCTTCTTGCATTGGGGTGCCGCTTTTCGACACAGCCCATGTCTCGAGCCAATCCCAACGACCCTTATACTTCTGGTGACCACTTCTTCAAGGAGTCATTGAGACTATTTGCCCAGGAAACGGATCACCATTCCCTTACAACTATCCAAGCTTTGGGGATAATGTCGATCCGAGAGGCTAGTTGTGGGCGAGATTCAGAGAGTTGGTACTACGCTGGGCAGAGTATTCGACTCGCCATTGAGATGGGACTCCACCGAATAATGGACGAAGGAGATGAAGATGAACTCGCTGTGCAGTCAGCAACCTTCTGGGGTGCTTTTGCGCTTGACCAGTGAGTGTCCCCTTTCATCGTGAGATTTCACTCTAACAGATACTACAGTGCATGGTCCCTCGCCACAGGCTCATTGCCGCAATGCTCCTGCTTCCCTCACCTACCACCAAAGCCCGCGATAATAGGAGACGTCGAAGCGTCTCTGTGGGTGCCTTATACTGACGACGGTGAATTTCTTTTGGTGTTGTTCTATGACTATCGCTGACTGTGACAGGCGCTCCCTTGCAACGCTCATGCCAACAACCGTCTAACGTGCGTTCCGTGTATAAATGTTTCTGCGAACTCAGCGAGCTCGTACACCAATCTCTGTACATTCTTCATTCCCCTGGCAAACCCTTGACAGCGAGAGAACTTTTGAACATGTACACACAGTACCTCAATTGGTATGATCGCATACCTGAGGTCCTTCGACTGGGGCACAATTTCACCCCAGCTGTGCTGTTCGCTCAGTAAGCCTCAAGCCCAACACGTTTGTTTCACCACGGCCGCTAACTTGAGCAGCATGTACTATCATTTCGCTATCCTACTCTTATTCCGGCCTCTCATCAAGCTCCGAATCATTGGATCCAAGGTCTCGCCTCGCGATGTCTGCTCACAGGCGGCTGACGCCATTCAAGGCCTTCTAAGATCTTACTCTTCACTCTATACCTTGCGACGAACGCCCTCGTTCGTACCATATTTTGTTCTCACATCAGCCATCATGCATCTAGCGATTGGCGCAACAACTGTCGGCTCGGATACGACTGAGGTGGATATGGAGAAAGCGGTCAAGGTGGATCCTCGTGTGGCCGAGTCCATCACTCAAGGCATTTCAGATCTCACCGAGATGGCTCCTTGCCACCAATTCGCTGAGCAGGCTCTCAACATACTACGTTATTTGGCCGCAAAGTGGGACATTGAGGTCGAGAACAACGTCGACAAGCTCACGGCGGAAGAGTACGACCGTTTGGTCTTGCCACAAACGGGGAGTCTCAACTTCTTCTCGCCCAACCTGAGGGAGGGAGACATTACGTGCCAATGGGGCGCGGGACCATTCATGGGAGAACAATCACCTTCGGTCCAGAAGACAGGAGATAGTATGGAGAACCCCCTGTTCTGGCCTTTCCCGATGCAAGGGCGGCCGATTCTCCCTGATGGTGTTGAGTTAGAACATGCAGGTTTTGCGATCATATAGAAGAAGCTTTCTGTGGCCTTTCGGTTGTACATCCTGCTTATGTACATTGAGTCCGTACACGACGACAGATATCCCGGGGTGTTGGTCGGTGTTCTTACCAGGCGAAATGGGGTCAAAGATCAAAGGAATGCGGCGGGCATTTTCTGGCGAAAGGGGGCTTTGGTCTATAGAGTCATTATCGCGGGTTCCAAAGCGATTTGTTATGGGGTAGATCAACACTTGTGTAAGAGAAAAGAGTGATTGCGTGATATCATGGGTTTTGGTCGAGTTGTTGCTTTTGGTGAGAGGGTTTGATGCACGGAATACCCTGGAGAAGAATAAAATCGCCAACTCTGTTCATGCGTACGTTTGTTCTCTGAGGCTTGTGATGGATGATGAGGCTTGCATGTGTTGTTTGATATGCAGGTCAATGAAGTGTAAGCGTTTGCTGCATGTTGTTTGATGCCCAAACAGCAACAGTGGCATACTGTTTGTCCATGCATGCTTCTAATTGCGCAAACGCTCGTTGCAGCATGCATCTTCCTTGCTAGAATCGCAAATGATGTGGCGACAACGAAATACACGACAAGTCATAACCCATGTTGTTCCATCATGACACATAAACACTTTAACTCTGATTAACTGCTGTCAAATCTTGTCCATCCCATATAGAACGGCATGCATGTGTCACATTGTCTGTCCCTCATTGCCTTGATTAGGCACGGCCCTGACCGCGATGCAAGATCCCGCATACCCCCCTGAAGACACGCCCGGTCTATGATTCAAACATGCAAATTGCCATGATTTCCGATTCAAAACGCCCATTCTGTTACCTTTCACTGGCGCGCTGAGGGGGAACGTGCAGCGGACATGGCGATTGCTGAGTGTAGCCATTTGCAGGCTCCCGAGATCAAGCACCCGGGGTGTACTCTACATTTTCTAAAATTTTCTCCTTCTCCTCTTCCGTTTCCTTCTCTTCATTTCTCTACATAGATATGACGCTTTATGTGAGATTCTGAAAACTGGTTTTGAAGGACGATTTGTGATTTATGACGAGCGACGAATTACCCCTTTCTGCGAGGGTACGAGACGAGGCATTGCCCACGAGCGAGAACTACAAGGAACAGCTTTCAATTGAAGTTAAGAGACTTGTTTCTAGTCATAGAGTTTGAACGGTTTGTGTCTTTGGGCAAGCGCGGGAAAGGTAGACTCCTGGAACCTGTCAGTCGAGCGCCAACGTGCTAACCACGACGTTTGAGCGCAGGACACTCATACTCTACGAGAACCCCAGCGATCAGTCGCTCAATCAACAAAAAGACCTCAGTAGACTGATCCTTACGGTCGTCCATTACAATCTTCCCCGGCGCTGTTCTCAGCCGTCGTGTGCCCTGCTGTCTACTCCTCCTGGAGTGTCCCATACTTCCGTCGACAACCAACGTTTGCCCTGCACTAAATTGAAACAACACAACGCGGTTCAATAACAGAAGTCGCTCCCCAAATTCAGAACCATCTATCAAAGAAACCAACTGTTCCCTATCTGTCAAGGAGGAAACCCAGTGCCCGAGCACTCGCCTCAAGCTCAGCACAACACTCTGTACACTCATCAGTTATACTCCAACCATCAAAACAACCAGTACAAAATCTACAACAGCTTCATCGCAGTATCAAATACATCCTCCGAGACAGATCACAATTTCTGATTGGATGCCCTAAGGTCATTTACTCGCTACTGTACTGGAACCCTTTCTGAAGCAACTGGAGCCAGGGGACGTGCAACCACTTCCCGCTAAGAGGAATATCCAACATCTGCAAGTGGCACCTGGCGGGCAGCTGGCATCAACCTTTCATCCTCAACTTTTCATTAGACTCAAAACTTGAGTTGAGTCCTCAGTCATACCTGCAGCTTGCGCCCGTTACCCACCTTCTTCCTTCTCTCATATCTCCTCGTACTTATTCCTTCTCTCTCTACTCTCCTTCTCATTCTTCAGAGCTGCTGGGCAACAAACGGTTCAAGAAATAGCTCCTTACTATTCCACTCTCCCACTCTTCTTCTTCTTCTTCTTCTTCTTCTTCTTCTTCTTCTTCTTCTACTACTACTACTCGGAGTCTTCAGCCTCTCGCCTCTTCTCTTCTTTAACCGTACTCATCCTTTCCGTCGTCAACCATTCTCATCAGAACACACATCTCTTCTATCACCAACCCCTCAGAGCTTCTTGATAACATACCAACCCTTTGCGCCGTATCTCGTCTGTCATCTCCTTGACACTGTCCATATTCTCCCTTACAACGCCAGTTGTGGGTGCTTCCCCTCTCATCGAGTTCATCTTGCAAGATCATCTTCATCTTGCAAGATGGGGGATCAAAACCAACAGGTGAGTACAACAGCTATACCTTTTCTCCTCGTATACTAATGCTTCCAAGATCCCCGGAGACCAAACTCCTTTGGAAATCATTACTCAGCATGTCAAGCACAAGAACAATCTGCCAAAGACTGGCAGCGTCCCTTGGCACTTGGCTCCAGAGTTTCCACACTCAAGCGAGCTGATGTCCATCGATGCTGCCCCATTGCTCCATCCCCCAAACATCAAGGTTCTATCTGAACGTGATGCCAAGAATGCCTACCTTGAGTTCCAGTACATCACGAATCGTTTCGAGGGTACTGAGCTTCTTCGGCAAGCTATCAACTGCTTCAGAAACAAGCCTAGAATGATGGAGGGAGATAGAGATAACTTCTACATCTATACACAAGTCAGTCCCATTTTCTCCTTCCTCAAGTCCTCTACTAACAGCTACAAGGTACATGTCCAAGGCTACTTGTTTGCTAGATCTGGGGCAGCTTGCCGCATTGCCTTTTCAACAGAGCGCTCACCCACCAAAGTTGAGTGGAAACAGTCGAACCGGCTTACTGCTGGTACCCTTATTGCGCTGTCTCCCAAATATGACAACTTCAACACCCAATGCTATGTTGCAGTTGTTGCCGCACGATACATTGTGGGTGGCCTTGAACCTGATCCTGCCAATGACGAAGGTGAAGACACTCCGCCCCGGATCGAGATCTTTTGGTCCGACTGCAACAATGCCGTCTTCGATCCTTCCGTTGAGATGGTGATGCTCGAAGCCAAAGGAGGATATTTTGAGACTGTTCGCCATGCCATGGTTGGGCTACAACATGCCGTAAAGTTTGAGTAGGTCTATCCCGTTGCATACTCAATACCCAAACTGACATTCCTCAGTTCCAAATTTGACAAATACATCATTCATGAGTCCAACACCGAACACACGACCGACTATCTTGCAGACACTCCAGGGCAGACTCCTCGTCTTCCTGACAGAGCTGACCACCTTGATCCTTCTCAAAGGGAAGCTTTGGAACGCATGACTCACAAAGAGCTGGCGGTTATCCAAGGTCCTCCTGGCACTGGCAAGACTTTTACATCTGTTGTAGCCATTGAAAGCTATGTCCAGACTCTCAAGTCTCGACAAAAAGGAGATACCCCACCCGTCATAGTTGCTGCTCAAACCAACCACGCTCTCGATCAGCTTCTGGACCGACTCTCGGCTTTTGAGGCCGTCATTGTTCGTCTCGGTGGGCGCACAGAAGACGAGGCGATAGAAGAGCGTACTTTGTACAATCTCAAAGCCAAATTAAAAACACAAAGTGGTGGCATCGCGGCTGAGAGAGCTCGAAGAAAGGCTCTCGGCACAATTGAGAAGTTGTTGTCGGAATGCTTCCCTGCATTTCTGATTCCAGCTGAAGAGTTTCTTAAAGGAGGACTCCTCTCGGATGCTCAGTACAAGTCGTTGGATGATGACGAGTGGGAGTCTGCTACTCTGGTCAATCGTGATGACGGAACTGAGATTGAGTGTCGCATTGCGCACTGGCTCCAGGTCATCGAGACAGACACCACTGTTGACATACGCCCTCCCCAGAACCAGGCTGAAAATCCCGAAAAAGATGATGCTGTTGATGAAACCCAGCAGGAGAATCAGAAGGAGAGACTCAAAGGTGCTTTCTTTCCCATGAAGTTCAATGTCACCGGTGCCCTTGCCAGTGAACTCTCCAAACAAGCATCCTGGGTTCACCGAGCCCGCAGGCTATTGAAACAGCATCAAGATCTATATAAGATCCAGCCACGTTATCGCGGCATGGTCTATCACCTCCTACGAGAAGAACTTATCCTCGCACGAGCTCAAAGGTTCCCTCAGCTTCTCAAAGAGTACCAGGAAGCCTGTGATGATATCAAAGTCAGCCGATGGGAGTCTGATGTCAGACTCATCACAGGTGAGCGTATTGAGATCGTGGGTTGTACAACCACCGGATTGTCCAAGTATCGTGGTATGATCGCAGCATTGAAGCCCCGCATATTGATGATCGAGGAAGCGGCCGAAACTCGAGAAGCCAACATTAGCTCCGCTCTCTATCCCAGCCTGGATCAGGTTGTGCTCGTCGGAGATCACCAGCAACTGGTCCCATCTGTAGATGTGCGAGAACTGGGCCGTGATCCCTACAACATGCATGTGTCTTTGTTTGAGCGCCTGGTCAAGCTCAAGTTGCCATATAGTATGCTCCGAGTCCAGCGTCGTATGGTCCCTGCAATTCGCGAAGTGGTCAACGCGTTCTATCCCAAGCTCACAGATCATTGTTCCGTCTACGATCCAGACAACCGGCCTCCTGTACCGGGTATGGGCGGGAAGAGCCTTTGGTGGTTTGATCACGAGGGACAAGAGAGGCAGAATGCCAACGACTTTTCATTTTCGAACCCAGATGAGGCTGACATGATAGTGGGCTTCGTGCGATATCTTGTTCAGAACGGCGTTGACCCGGAACGCATCACTGTTTTGACGTTCTACAAAGGGCAGGTTGCTCTCATCACGGAGAAGCTTCGTCGTGACCTATACCTCGAACTCAAGAATCCTTTGAAGAAGTGGTCGGTGAGAACTGTCGATGGCTTCCAGGGCGAAGAGAACGATGTCATTCTGCTATCACTAGTTCGAACCCTTGGCCCGGGCTTCATTGGGAA